CGCTGGGACAATACTTTTATTCGCCTGACGTTTCGAGATCCGTCGTGGATTCTTCATCAGAGACAGTCAAAGAGCAGTAGCGGAAACGGGCAACAACCGTCTGCAGTTGAATAAGAGGTCATTAAATTTTATGACGCCAATAAATTTTGCTAATCTCGCGATCTTTGCCTTGTTCGAAAAAAGTTTTGCTGTAATTTCTTTACTAGCAACACTAAGAGGGCCTGGAAGTGGAGTAGAAGAATGTGAAGTAGTTGGAGTTCCCTGTCGACGCGCTTGCTTTATGGTACCGTGTGTCTATCGCCCAGAAAATTGTTCGCGTTTATAAACCTTTGTAATTTACCTCATTTATTCTAAAATGAGCCTCGCATTTAGCAACCGATGATTGTACGAGTGTGTTGAAATTACACAGAGCACAACAAAAACTATGTGGCTATTATCAATTAGCTTACATAGCCCTGTGTTGAACTGCTTCCTTTTTGTAAATCCCGGCCCGAAATTCTATCAATCTTTCCTAATCAGGAAATGAGCGATGCGATGGCTAAGGAGACAATCCGAAATACTGACCGTTTTTCTTCTCCTATAAATATATTTTTATCACAGTACCAGTTAATTTACTTCTCGGGCTTACGGCGCTCGGAAACTCCTTGGTTGTACTACATTTCATAAAAAAGTATGATCAAAAGTGTGTACTTATGGCGGTCGCTTCCCATCCGCCATGCTTAATAAGGCTGCATTAATCCGGTGACATCACGCCGGGAGAGTCGAGCCATTCTGAAGCTAATTCCAACGCTGACTGAGACCTCCATGCGGTTGATGACAGTTGCATGGTGTTTCACACCCTGCCTGGATGACGCCTGATGTGCGACGCGGCAAACGTGCCTTGTATACAGACATAATTTTCTATCAACCACCATCCTGCAGCCTCTAATATTTCAGGGGTCGTAATTTTATAGCAAAAGGTTATTGAGCAAGCTCACTATACCTATTTCCGGACTTTCGGCTGAACCCGACTTAAGCGACATGGACGAATCGCACCGACCCGTCGGACGTCAATTAGCGCGGATGACTCACCGTCAACAATCACGCACCACAGCGATTCCTCGTGCAGGGGTGATTTGGAATCCTATTGGCTGGCGCATACCCAATGGCGTGCGCACAGAGTGCTTAATGCCACTGTGACGAAAATTGGCGTTGGTCTTGCCTCAATCATGGACCGATTCTTGGGCACGTGGAGACTGGAGAGGAGCGAACGTTTTTCCGACTTTCTGGGGCGCCTGGGGGTGCCCTACCTGATTTGCAAATTTGCGAGCGTGTTACCGACCACTCTAAATGTTAAACAGGAGGGTGACAAATACACTGTGGAGACAATTACCACATTTAGAACGAAGACAGCCACATTTCGACTTGGAGAACCATTTGATGAAGTCAGTATGGGCGGCACGCCAATCCGGGTAGGATACTCCCATTCAAGGGTCTTATACTGTCACAGTCAATAGCCAAACTTGTTGGTGATGTTCTCTTTTTTGAGCAGAAGAGTGTCAAACCGACTAGTTCCTCGTGGAAGGTGGAGAACAACATGCTAACTACCGTACGTACATTTCGAGGTTTCTCTTTCGCTTTCATCCACGTTTTTTGCTTTTAATTCATGCTTATTAATCAGCCTTGGCTTGTTTTTACGACAGCTGTCCGTTTTTATTTTAGACATTGAAAGTGGAGAACGTCATTGCACACCGAATTTACAGGCGAGCTACATAGGCTACGTGGGTAAGACTCATCAGAACTGTCCGTATTATTATACCTTTTTTTGTTAATAAAAAGTTTTTTTGATGAAGAACTTCAGGCGATCAGTCAGGTTGTAAACAAAAATATATTCAGAAGAGTATTTGGCGAGCGTGCGTACACTTTTGTATGGAAAAGGGGTGCACGTTAAAACGTGTTTGTCTGTTCGTACAAGTGAGTCGTGGGAATAGGGGGGGATCGATAAGAGGTGGCTGGTTATGAGGGCAGGGTTTGGTGGAGCGGTCTATAGGAGGGAGGGCGGCAGAGAGGGGGGGAAGAGAGAGAGAGCACACAATGCTGGCTTCATCAACCTGATGGCGGTCGCTTCTGCTGTTGCTAGCAGACGCTGACCCAGAGACTTTGGATAATTTGGTGGGACCTTGTAGATGACCCAGAAAGCTTCGTTGGGGTCTACCTGATGTTCGAAATCAAACATGTGCGCCAGGATAGAGTTGTTTATGGGCCTGACTTCACCCTTTTTCAGTCATGCCGGGAGGTGTTCCTTTATTCTTTTGGATAGGCGCCGACTTGTGCGACCAATATAACCTGCTACACAGGAGCAAGTAAAGGAGAAGAGACACATAGAGGTGGTCTGAGCTGGTAACCTATCCTCCCCTTCCCTATGTAAGATTTAGTTAGTTGAGAATAATACCCGAACTCAGGCTGTTGGGAAGGTTCGTGAAATGGCTTGCTTGAGGCGTCTGCTTATGAGTTCGCTTGCCACATCCCCTTGAAGTGGGACTTTAAGGAATAGGGTCTTCTGGTCTACAGTGGTTTATGGTGGGTTTGTTTCTCTCTCCATCATATGCTTTATGATGGAACTGTCCGGATATCCGTTTTCTCAAAGCAGGTCCTGCATTTCCTGGAGCTCTATTTCAGTAGTGTCTGCCGTGCGGATTTTTCTGGCTTTTTGCATTAAACAGTGGACTAGGTTACGCTTCTGTTGGATAGTTAGGGGCCTAAGCCGTGGTTGTACTTAGAGCACTACAATCATCAGGCCGAAATCGCTGATGGACGGTAAACGGTAGAAGTCACCAGAAGGAAGGGTTTCTTGTGGACAGAACTCCTCAGGCGACAGTGGCCACAGCTCCCCTTCAGACGCCGAACGAACTGAATGCGTCAAACGTGAGCGAACGACGAAATGAAGAATAAAATCCAGTACACGTGCAGATTGAGGAGCGGATGTCGCGTGTGACATTAGTTGCTCCTGTTGGAGGCTAGGGCGGTGCCTGCAATTTGTACTGAGGTGCAGTTGTGGCATCAGCCGGAGGAAGTTCTGTTGTGATTTCGATAACGTTTACCAGTTAGTTGGTACGTTGGAAGGAGAAAAGGATGTGTCCTTGGGTTCGCTTACGTGTGTGAGTAAGTCGACAAATTGGTAGGAGGAAAGACATCTCGGCAACGTGTGCCAGTGGATTGGCACGTTGCTAGGAGGAAGGGTCATTTCGACTAAGTATGCCTGTAAGTCGGCACGTTTGTAGGAGGATAAGAAATTTCGAACATAAGGCATCTCAGTGAAAGCTGAGTCGGACGAACGCGTCAGTTGGCTCACTGTCATCCAGGCACAAAATTGAGATGGAGTGGAGTGTCGAAAGTATGAAACTTCTTTGATGCGTACACAATTAAAAGTTAAGTGTATCATGAAACGGACTCACGAATGATAGTTTCGTTGGTGATGGACGGAGGAATGGCTCGTTCACAGCAGAGATGTGATGGGATAGCAGCACATTTGGATGAATGCTCCAAATGAATTGATTGGGGTTCGATCTGGACATAAATGGCTGAGTTTTGTTGAAGACATTAATCTCGATTCGCGCCATCATGTCGGCAACCGCGTTTCCCTATCCGTGGGTAAGAAGAGTGACGCAGAAAAAAAAACAGTGCGGTGGAGTCGAGTTGAAATTTCGTGAAGGTGTTGTCAGCCATATCGGAAGTCGTTGCGTGTGCAGATCACGTCGGGGTCACCAATTTGTAGAGATTGGGGGTTGTACTGGGATCACTACAATCATCAGGCCAAATCCCAGGTTGGAAGTCACCAGAAGGAGTGATTTATTGTGCACAAAACTCCCAATTGCTGTCTCAGGTGGCAGTGGCCCCTGGCGAAGCCAGGGCTAGTATTGCCTGCGTCCAGCCAGACTTGAGAGAGCGTGAGACAGTGATGGCAGCTACTGAAGTAGGATTGCGGAGCAGGTTCAAGTGTTCTGTTATTGGTGTGTTGCAATTGCCCGAGGGGATGTCGCCTGCAAAGGCCCCCTGCTGCGTTGGCCAAAGAGGTGACATGTTAATTGGCCCTTAGGAAACCGTGACTAGTTTGGCGCGCATGCAGTTGCTTGTGTGCGCACGGATGCATGCGACTGAATATCGCTCA